GTATAAAGTTAATATGTGCAGAGAACAATCCACACTGTGTTGCTCTAGGGATCTTATCACAGTAAGCCTGATTTAACAGCATTCCGCGTTTGTTGTTAAACTATAAACATCTAGAAATGAACACTATTACTCATCGTCTTGGCACATAACAAACAAATATTAAAACTGAGTACATTGTGACTCGTAAATAAGGCATTATTGACGAATAGATCTGGTGGGCTATTAGACACTGCCAGTAAATTCATGAAATACTTCAGAGCTCTTAAAGTACATCTTGTCTCCTTGTATTTATAGTATTATCAAATGTTCTAAACGACCATACGGACAATGGGAATATTTCGGGCTGTATTAAGAAGCGCCGTAAACTCATGACATAAAAGCACATTGCTTGCCTCCAGAATGAACGCTAAACAATTCATAGCCTTGACGGATATTAGCACAAAGAAATAAAGCCATACTTACCTGGTTTCTTCTGGAAATGTTCGTATATTTTGCATCAAGTGAAATCCAGAATAAGTTTGCATATACTATAGCCATATAAATATGTGCACGCGCAATTTGATATTTTTCTCGCACTCCCCCCGTCCGTTCCCCCCCGGAAATACGACATCTTAACGGACAGACACAAATCGACATCTCGACAATACATAGATCGGCGCGAAAGACTGGGTCGAGTGAACTCTGGAGAAACCTTCATGTCATGATTAGGAGTGCTGCCTTCGGCAGCAATAAATCAAAAATAGAAGTATTTACAATAATAGGGCTAGGAACCTTCTAGTCGTTCTAGAAACCATAAGGCTTTTTAATTAAGGTCCCTAGTTACAATTTTAAATTAAATTAATATTATAATAGATTACCAGTTCAAATATTTTTAGATAAAGTAAGGTGATATATGTACAGCATATATATATATATATATAGAAATAAGGAAACTGCAAGATAGGATATTAGATTATATTACAACAATTTAATTCTGTCGAGAATTCTATTTGTTGAATTAAGAATGAAGAAAATACTTTTTCATTGCCGTTTTGAATATTGGAAAAGATCTAATTTCTTTATATTGCAAAGGAAGATTATTCCACACATCAATTCCTTTGTTAGCGAGCGTGTGTTTATTATAATTTGTTCTATTATATTTTTTGTGAAGCGAAGATGCATTTCTTGTGTTATAATTATGCATGATATCTTTGTTGGTCATAAAATAATTGGTAAAAATTTCTGGAAGATTATGCAGATGAAAATATCGGAACATAAATGAACTTGTTAAGTATTCATTTAATTTGTATAAGTTTAATATTTTTAAATCACATTAAAAATTGGTTCAGTATGGTCAGAATATGATTTGAAAGTCATTAATCTTACTATCTTTTTTTGAATATTTACTAATTTTTGAATGTGAGATTTGTAGGCATTACCCCAAATCAGATTGCCGTAAGTAAGATATCATGGATAGACTAATGCAAAATAGATCAATCACATTCCGATCACATTCGATCACATTCCGCCGAATGTTTTCGATTTAATCGGGGAAGAAATTATCTATAATGCCGCCATGAAAACAAAGGGTTCTGCGGGTCCGTCCGGAATGGATGCGGAGCTGTATCGAAGAATCCTTTGCTCCAAGAACTTCAAGACTGAGGGCAAGATCTTGAGAGAAGAATTAGCAATTCTCACCAGAAATCTATTGAAGACGAGTTACCATCCATCCCTACTTGAAGGTTACACCTCCTGCAGACTCATCCCACTAGACAAGAATCCGGGAATTCGACCAATCGGAGTAGGCGAGGTTTTGAGGCGTATTATTGGTAAAACAGTTACCACCTTCCTAAAGGAGGAAATCCAGGAAGCAGCAGGCCCCCTTCAAGTTAGCGCTGGACACAGTGCAGGGGCCGAGGCTGCCATACACGCCATGAGCCAAGTTTTTGCACAGGAGGGGACAGATGGGATATTACTGATTGATGCCAGCAATGCATTCAACCGAATGAACAGGTCTGTAGCTATGCACAACATTCGCATAATCTGTAAAGAAATGTCTATATATATTATAAATTCGTATAGGGGTCCATCCAGGCTATTTATATCCGGCGGTGGCGAGATATTGTCACAAGAGGGAACCACACAAGGTGATCCCCTGGCTATGCCCTGGTATTCGGTTACTACATCCAGCATGATCCAGAGCTTGAGGATACAAACCCCAGAAGTTAAGCAGGTATGGTTGGCTGATGACTCAGCTGGGGGAGGAAAGCTGGTGCCATTGTATGATTGGTACAAGCAGTTGACTCTCGAACGAACGAAGTATGGCTATTTCGTCAATGGATCAAAAAGTTGGTTGATTGTCAAGTCGGAGCTCTTAGCAGAGGAAGCTAAGAAGGTGTTTGGGGAGGAAGTGAATGTTACAACAGAAGGTCATAGCCACCTTGGAGCCGTTATTGGATCCAAAGATTACAAAGACCAGTACTGTGGTGATAAAGTCCTCAAATGGAAGAAAGAAATTGAAGCACTCTCTGAAATTGCGAAGAATCAACCCCATGCATCATATATTGCCTTTACAAAGAGTTACAAATCTAAATTTACATACTTCATGCGGACAATTGAATCGTTTGAAGAATATGTAGATCCAATCCATGAAGCGATTGATGATTTGTTTCTTCCAACACTCTTTGGGCAAGTAGAACCGCTCCCCGGTGAGCTACGTCAGCTTTTCACGTTGACACCAGCGCAAGGCGGCCTTGGTATACCAGACTTGAGAATAGATGCCCCACAGCAGTATGCTGCATCAACATCTATAATGTCATCGTCACACAAAGGCCCTTCAAGACGAAAGGCGACGTATCCACAGAAGATCGTAAAATTTACCACCAGTCACTTAAAACGGCTTCCGTCAAAGCAAGAATGGAAACTATTGACTCTTCTCTGTCTAATGAGCTCATGCGTTTGGTAAACCAGTCGAGAGATAAGGGAGCGAGCTCGTGGCTTAACGCAATACCCCTTGAAGAGCAAGGCCTAGCCATGAATAAACAAGAATTCAGAGACTCCCTACGATTGCGGTACAACATACCTCTGCAGGATTTACCAAGCTTATGTGTATGTGGAGAGAGATTTACAATTAACCACGCCCTTTCGTGTAAGAAGGGTGGGTTTGTAGCCCAGAGGCACGACGGTATTCGAGATTTTCTAACTTTGCTTACTAGCAAGGTATGCAAGAATGTGGAATCAGAGCCTCGTCTTCAACCGCTGGATAACGAACAATTCCGCCACAGAACCGCTGTCACTAGTCCGGAGGCAAGATTGGACATAAAGGCAGGAGGCTTCTGGCAACGAGGAGTGACAGCATTTTTTGATGTTAGAATAACGCATGTCAACTCCAAGTGTAACCAGAACAAGCCTACGACTACCATCTTTAAAGAGCACGAGAACGAGAAGAAGAGAAAATATCAACAGCGAGTGCTAGATGTCGAAATGGGGACGTTCACGCCTTTGGTTCTTGGTACCAACGGTGGTATGGGAACAGAATGCCAAATGTTTCTGAAGCACCTTGCTGATAAGCTTTCACGAAGGGACGGGGAACCTTACCACGCAGTCATTTCATGGATTAGAACACGCTTATCTTTTGAGATTTTAAGATCGGTGAACACTTGTGTCAGGGGATCTAGAAGGCCCTTTAAGAACGCAAATGACTTCATAGATGATTTTAATGTAAATGCTAATGCAGCAGAAATTTTTTAGATACTTTTATAATGGACTATTTATATGGATAATTTTCTTTTTTAACTATACAATTGACATATTTTAATAAAGTTCAGGTTGCAGTTTTAGGGAATTTAGGTTTGTAAAATGTCGAATCCTGGAAATAATAGCTGTACATTTGATAATTTTCTTGGAGATCAGATCTATGTGATCACGCCATGTTAAAAATTCGTCAATAACAATTCCTAAAAAAGTAATGTTTTTTACTTGTTTTATATGTTCTTTATTTATTGAAATCTTTAAATCATGTTTAGATTTTTTATTTCTTGATCTAAAAAGAATGAGCTTAGTTTTCGTAGTATTTAGAGATAATTTATTAACGTTCAACCAATATTTGCAATTTTATTCATTTCAATTTGAAGAATTTCATTTAAAGTTTTAAGGCAAGTATCGCTGTACAGTATATTTGTGTCATCGGCAAATAATATAATTGAAACCAATTCACTGCAATACTGAATATCATTTATATATAAAAGAAACAATATAGGACCCAATACTGATCCCTGCGGGACACCGCTTGTGATAGTCATTTCTTCAGATTCAACGCCGTTATATTTTACCAACTGTTTTCTATTATACAGATAATTTTCGAACCATTTTTTGGCTACTCCTCGTATTCCGTAATGTTCCAATTTTCTTATCAGAATCTTGTGGTTAATTGTGTCAAATGCCTTTGAGAGGTCAAGGAAAATACCAACAGAGAATTTCCCTTGATCAATCGCTGTAGTGATTTTATCAACGAGGTCAATTATAGCATGTTCTGTTGATCTGTTTTGTCTGAAGCCATACTGATGTTTTGATAATATATTGTTTTTATCAATAAATTGTGTTAGTCTTTTGACCACAAGTTTTTCTAGCAATTTGGAAAAACAATTTAGAACTGATATTGGTCGGTAATTTTTAAACTTGTTATCTTCATTACTTTTAAAAATTGGCGTAATTAGGCCTAATGCGACTTTTAAATTGTCTGGAATAATACCAGACGAGAATGATAAGTTAAGAATATGTGTTAAAGGCTTAGAAATTTCCTTGGTAATTATTTTTATAATTTTAGCATTATTGCCATCTGATATCCAGAACTTTTGTTCGACTTTATATTTTCAAGTTCAATTTCAAGTTCATTTTCTGTGATAGCATTAAGGAAGAGACTAGACTGATAACTACCATTCAGATATTTCTCAAAGGTATCACTATCATTACATTTTATTTTTTTAATAGTCATTAAAGATCCGTTCTGCACATACGTTCTGCGCAGGCCTACATTCCAATGGTCGGGATTCTCTGGTCGGGACCCGACCATTGGAATGTTATTAATATTTCGCACCTTCCGAACTTTCTTGAATTAAATCTCGAGACGTCTGTATTCATAATGTTTTGGATTGGTTTGTAATTAAGTAGAGTTTTATAGTTCTCAAAATGCTGTGGTTAGCAAGACGCAAGACTGGATAGGGTTAAGATTAGCGGCAGACAGGTTTTACATCGATGTTAACATATATATATATATATATATATATATATATATATATATATATATATATATATATATATATATATATATATATATATATAATAATTTAATATTTTAATACAATTATTCAATTGAAAAATTGTATTAAAATATTAAATTATTATTATATGCTCTACAATTGTCTTGTATTGAGCACTCTTTATTCTTAAAAACGGGAAATCACTTTATGAAATTATATTTAACAAATATAAAACATTTTCCGTGTTGATATACAGTTATATCAACACGAGTGGAAATTGGGAAAACGAGAAATTGTGTGGAAACACGACGCCCGAAGGGCGGAGTGTTTTCACACAATTTCGAGTTTTCCCAACTTCCACGAGTGTTGATATAACGATATATCAATACGGAAAAATGTTTTATATTTGTTTTATAATATAGCAATGTCAAAAGCCCGAAGAATAAGAAAAATTTCCGTGTTTACAAGCGGCGGAAAATTTCCCGTGTTGACATGGAGTTATATCAACACGGCTCTTAGCCAATCAGCGTTCAGAATTTACAAATGCTATATTATAAATATATATATATATATATATATATATATATATATATATATATATATATATATATATATATATATATATATATATATATATATATATATATATATATATATATATATATATATATATATATATTATCAAAAACTCATTAATAATTCATGAAGCAATTATCCAATCTTGAGTAAGAAATTAGTCACGTGCATACGTCTTTATACCAGCTAAAGAACACTTTAACAAAAGACCATTGTTATGCAAACTATATAAAGATTTTTATATAAAGATTTGATTTATATAAAGATTTGACTTATTATGCATACGTTTTTGAAGTCATTTAAAAAACTCGCGGGTCGTGTTTTATTAGGTCTAAAGCCACTCGCGCTGCGCGCTCGTGGCTTTAAACCTAATAAAACACTCCTGCTCGTTTTTTAAATAGTACTTAAAATATTTATCACTACACTGTGTTTCACGCTTCTTTCGAAGCGATCTTCAGGCGATTGGGGGGTGAAAATTTCTTTTCGAACATTAAAATAGGGTCAAAAAATTTTCTGCTCAAACATTAGCTAAACTAAGGTTCAAAAAAACTTCATTATTTCACTCTAGTGGAAGTTGTACATGAGGTAGCTATCACCCAATAGATGATTCCAGCTATGGACGAAATTTTGATCTAGACATGAAGAACGAAATCCAACACCACACCTATAGAAAGAGCATCTTAAAGTGCAAAAATATACATACAAATTTTGCGAACTTCAGAGAACACAGAGCTATATTTTCCTCATTGTACAACATTTCGCAACCAAACTTTACAGTTTTACTCATTTTAAGATGCTTTTTTTACATCAATATTTAAAAACTTAATTACCTTCATTAACGTCGGCGACTTTGCTCTATTCTTTTAGACGTTTTTACGGACGTTTTTTGGCTCTCAGAAAGGTTTTGAAATTTACATAATCTTAAAAATACAACTTGCAAGAAATGTTTGTTATTTCGCTGTCGTCAATGCAGTCGTTATAATGCAAATTTCAAATTTGACCAATCAGTGTTCACTATTCACGACAGCCCACTACATATTTGAGATCAGTGAGGATGCCCACCCATGAACGGTGAGCCATGCGCCCACGATATTTGATGAACTTTAGACTTCGCTAGTGCGGCTGCTAGTGCGTTGTTCCTTTCCCGGGTGTAAATAGCCGGTCGGAATTAGTACCCTCGTTCGCGCCGTCGGCTCGGGGATAATTCATGTAATATATCATAAAATGTCCCGTACTTGCGAGTTGCGCCGCTACATTTTGTTTATGTATACGTACCGAAGGGAAGCCATCATCGAAATTTGTCCATCGATGGGAAATATTAGCTGTTCATATCACCGAAAGATAAACAGGGTGCTATAATTGCTAGACTGGTGACTGGAACAGTGCAAATGTTTATGCAAGAGTTTGAGGAGTTATGAGAGTACCACAAGCCGACCTCGCGTGAGTATTTGATGTTTGATTTGCATTGAATTTTGAAGCCAACAACAGATGAAGACGATTGTTGTGTGATTTTGGTTAGACTTGCAAGGAAATCGTCTTTCGTTACGTTTCCGATCCAGCATTTTGCATTTGCGAATGCGCTACATTCATTCGAGTTTATCTATTGGTCGAGTGTCGAGGGTTAAATGTCGAGGGCGAGGGTAAAAAGTCGAGGGTGAGGGTAAAAAGTCGAGGGTGAGGGTTAAAAGTCGAGGGTAAAAAGTCGAGGGTTAAAAGTCGAGGGTAAAAAGTCGAGGGTAAAAAGTCGAGGGTAAAAAGTCGAGGGTTAAAATTAGGGGGAAAAAGTCGAGGGTTAAAAAGTCGAGGGTTAAAAATCACAAAAAATACAATATTAAGGTCAGGTAACCGCTTCGGATAAGGCCATAGCGACGTCTACGTGTCTTCTCGGCAGTATTGTTATATGAGCACTTTTAAACCAAATAATCAAACATTATTCAAACAATCAAACCTATAATATGCGTTCCACGCACACACGTTGGGCGATGTTTTCGCCTTTATTGACAGATCAGGTTACTGACATATCCGACATGCCGCAATTCACTGGCTCGACTAAACATATGTTCTGTTCATGTTAGTGGCCCGTTAGTTATAGTTAAATAAATAACAATCATAAAATTGACCAAGTTTCAAT